AAACATCGGCGGCAGCTCTCCGCCATGGCTGCTCCTATGAAATTTGACTATTCGGAGATACCGGTACCCGATATGGAGGACATCGATATGAGATTTATAGACACGCTTCCCGAGCTGCGCGGTGTCGCAGCACCGGCGGATGAGATCCATCGCGCGATCGCGTTTCTTAACGCGGATGAAGCGACTCTAAGAGGGGCGATGATGGGGTCAGGAATCCCCGGAATGACGGGGTGTCTGATGGGCGACGCGGATCTCTCATCGGACGGTCTGGATTTCATCCCGGACGGATCTATTACCACCCCTGACGGAAGCAGCGTCGGTGGCGGAGGGGGGGATGTAGCGCGGACGGCGGGCTGCAGCTCGGCGGAGGGGGAAGTTGGTGGCGGGGGACGTCGTCGGCGGGAACTGGCAGAGTGGCGGAAATCTGCTGATTTGCGGGGAGCAGCAAGTTTCCCGCCAAAATCTTTTGCAGCAGCATCAGCATCAGCTCCAGCTGCTACAGCAGCAGCTTCAGAAACAGCAGCAGCATCCGCATCAGCAGCAGCCCGTGCTGAGTCAGCAGCAGCAGCAGCAACACGGAAACATCCACCAAGACGTATCAGGAGCGACCACGTGGCAGGGAGGCTCGCCGCCAACCACGGGGTCGATTGTAGCCCACCACGTGTCCGGCACGTTCACCGGCAGCAACTTCAACGGCAGTAACGGGAACTTCAATAACGGGAACATGAACGGCGGCGGCGGGGGATTGAACGGCGGGGGCTTGAGCGCCGGGGGTTTGAACGGCGCGGGTTTGAGCGGTGGGGCATTCAATGGCGGGCAGAACTGCGCGACCCTGGTGCCCGGCGGAAGCCGCCTTAGCGTGGAACAAGCGCTTCTTCTCAACATGTCGCGCACTGAAGCGGAGATGCGCAAAGTGGTGATGGAGCGAGACGTGCTCAGGTAATGCGACGGGCACGCTTGAGCTGTTACATACATCCTTTGGCCATTGTTCGCAACTCTTCGCTTGCTCTACTCACGACGTCATTTCCCACTTCTCCTCACCACTTCGCTCCCGCCGTCTCTCCCCCGCCGCCGCCCGCCCTTTTTCTTCCCCCCAGAGAGGAGGTTGCGCGCAACCAGGCCGCCTTGCGCCAGCTCTCCGCGGACAAGTCCGCGCTCGAGGAGCGCGTGCGCGCGCTGGAGGGCAGCGTGCGCACGCTCGAAACCCGCGCGCGCCAGCTCGCGGGGGACAAGGGGCAGCTCTCCGCGGAGCGCGCGCAGCTCTCCGCGGAACGCGCGGGGATCGAGTCGCTGGTCCGCGCAGCCAAACAGGAGGCATTCGCGCAGGCGGTCAGCCAGAATCCACACCGCGCTCAGCTGCGCGCCGATCCCCCGCGGAATCCGCTTCGCCCCAGTAGACGCGGAAGTATTCCAGTACCTTTCCAGGAAAGTTCGCGGGGAGGTAGAGGACGTGGGTCTAGACCGCCTCCTAGTGCAGAGATTAAGACGCGTCGGCGGACTGCGACGGGCTTATACCGGAGATAGAGCTGCTGAAGTTCCCCAGGCCGTGGCACCTGCCCGGTTAGACGTCTCCCCGGACGGCAAGGGTCTAACGGGATTTTTCTTCGTGAAGCCCGAATGGCGGCCGAACGAGCGGCGCCGGCGGCGAGAGGCGGACATGGCGCCGTGCGACCCGAAGCCCCCCTGCTGGAAGGAGTCTTGCCAACCCACTCCGTTCGCGGACCTTGCGCCGTGCCTTGGGCTCTCTGTGGGGGCCGGGGGGGTGTGCGTGGGGGGGAGGAGTGGGCGGAGGCGGGATGGGGGCAGGGGCTTTTCTTTTCCGGCCCGAGCGGAGGATGTTTCGTTTCAAGCTGGCCCGGGACGCGCGAGGGCCCCGCGGGGGAGAAGGAGAAGTGGAAGATGTACGAGTACACCCTGAAGACGGACCTGGAGATGTACGAAGACAAGCGAAACGGGTTACCCGTGTGGGTGGTGTGTAAGGTTGTGAGGGAGGGGCCGATGACGCGGGAAGAGGAGGTGGAGGCTAAGGCGCGAGCAGCCGCCGCTGCTGCTGCGGGCGGAGGGGGGTCCAGTGGGAGTGGCGGAGGGAACGGGGGAGGGGGAGGGAGAAGCGGAGGGGGAGGGGCGCATTCGGGGGGAAGCTCTGGGTCGGGGGGGGCGTCGGGGGGAGCGTTTGGGGGAGGGGGTGGGGGGAGCGGTGGGGAGAGTGGGGTACCGGGGGAACGGCGGAGGCGGGTATGGGGGAGGAGGGGGGGGATACTCAGGCGGTGGCGGGGGAGGGGGAGGAGGGGGAGGCGGAGGAGGCGCGGTGTGGTCGTTGTTGCCGCCCCTCCCGGAGCAGACAGCTCCGCCTGCGCTGGCGCTTGCGCCAGCAGCAGCGGGTGGCGGGTCTCCACAAGGTCACCTGCGAAATCACCTGAGAGGTCGCCTGGAAGAATCCCCCCTGTGATGCTGTCTCGCATGCAGCTCCTGGACCAATGGCTTGCCGCCATGCCCCTCCCGCCTTCGCAGTCCGTTTCTGCTGCTTCGTCAGCAGCATCCCCCGAGGAGCATCAGCCCAAGCAGGCGTATCAACCGCGTCAGCACCATCACTTCCTTCCATCCTGGCCGCCACGTCAGCATCTTCCACGTCAGCCATCCAGGTGACGTCAGCAGCCGGGCAGGTTTCATCTGCGGTCCAAGTCACCTCTTCCGTGTCTGTAACTGCAGCAGGTTCGGCAGCTGCCGGACCTGTTGCCGAGCCTCTGGCGGCTCTGGCCATGGCTGCTGCCAAGCGTCTGCTGGAGGATCGGTTGGTTCGGCACGTGGGGAACATCAGCGGGAGGAAGAGGCTGTTTTTGCCAGAGGTGGAAGGGAGAGAGGCGATCACCGGTGAGACGTCTGGTACGATTACAACAACTGCTGCTTCTGCTGCCGTCGCCGTTACTGCTGCTACTACCGCTGCTGCATTTGGTGCTGCTGCTGCGTCTGCTGCTTATACAGCAACTGTTGGCGCAGTGGCAGGAAGAGGGGATGGGCGGGCGGGGAGGGAGGAAAGCAGGGAGCAGCAGCGGCCATACTGGTTGCGTCCCCTTCCTGGGCGCGAAGCCCTGCCGGACTCCTACTGGGATAGCCCAGAGGCGAAGGCGGAGGAGGAGGAGGTGGTGGGGGAGGAGGTGGAGGAAGCGGAGGAGGAAGACGAGGAGTGGGAGGACGGGGAGGAGGAGGGGGAGGAGGCTGGAGGGGAGGAGGAGGGTAATCTGAAGCCGGGCGGCGAGAGTGAGGTGGGACAGCTGGCGGCAGAAGTTTCCAGGAAGCTGTCAGAGCTGGTAACCGCGTCGAAGAAACTGACGGAGAAAGCGGGATTCCTTGCTCTGGGCGGCGAATCTCCCTTCTCTCCTGTCGAAGCTTCCATCTCGCGAGTGCTCAATCTGGTGACACGTGTTGCTGACGTGGCGCTAGCAGACGAGCCCGCTGCCCAGCTCTGGCTGCACGCAGTGGGCGGCGCAGTCAGCGATGAACTGGCGCCGGGAGTCTTCCTCGCAGCTTCCCTCTCCGCATCCCCGCTGATGCTCTTAGTTAAGTTCCAGGACTTAAGCGCGATCATTGAGGGGGGGATGAAGGCAGTATGGAAGCAGGCGGTGGGAAGGCTGCCGAAGGCGCTTAGAGAGAGGATGAGTGAGGAGGGGAGGAGGGAGGTGAGAGCAATGGAAGAGGCAATGGAGGGAGGGGAGGTGACTGTGGTAGTGAGCGAGGGAGTGAGAAAGGCGCAGGAGGGGCTGCTGGCGCTGGTGCTGGCTCTGGGAGGTGGGGAAGGGGGAAGTGGAGGAGGGGGAAAGGGGAAGGGAAGAAAGGGGAAGATGGATTGATGAAATCGAAAGCGCCACCTGAAACATCACCTGAAGTTTTACCTGAGGCTATGGAGTTGCATGTGGGTGACTCCATGGCGCCTGCAGCTGCAGAGGCCGGGCAGAAGAAAGTTTTGTTCCAGATTGATGGCAGCGAGGTGGATGAGAATTCCAAAGCGGCCAATCGGCTCAAGAGCGAGCTGATGAGCCTGTGCGAGAAGGGCAGCCGGAAACCTTTTGAGCTGCCTGGAAGCATGTCAAGCACGGTCGTCGAGGTGTTCCGGGCAGTCGGGTTCGAATACAACACGCCCAACGTCCACGGGCAGGTTAAGAAAGAAACGCTCCTGAAGGAGGGGTTGTCAGTGCTGGAGAGAGAAGGGATGAAAGCAACGGAGCTGGATTTGACAGGGGAGATCGCTCAGCTCCATGCGCTAAAGAAGGGGCTGACTCTAGATCTGCAGCAGTTAGACATGAAGCCCAGCATGCTGAGCAAGTTCGTGGAAGGTTCCTCGGTGTCGACTGTGGCGGATGGCATGATTGCTGTGCTGCAGGCGTGCAGCAGCGCGCTCGAGGCAGGGGCTGCTGCTGCTGGTACTGGTGGTGATGGTGATGATGGTGGTGCTGCTGCTGCTGGTCCTTCTGGTGGTGTTGGTGATGCTGATGGCGAAGCTGCTGCTGCTGCTGGAGCGGATGCAGCGGGTGCCGCTGCACCTTCATCGAGTGTCCGTGTCACAGAGCCGTCTGGCAGTGGTGGGGATACCACGCCTGCCACATCTGCCACACCTGCCTCACATGGCACCTGTGTGGTCTTTTCTCGCGAGGACATCCTCTCAGCCCTTCCTGGAAGCTTGGAGGGGCTCTCTGGTCGTGTCAATGCCTGCATGCGGTTACCACCCAACACACGCAGCACCAGCAGCAGCAGGATGGAAACTTCCCCATCTTCGGCTGATGCTGCTGCCGGTGGTGGTGATTCCAAAGGTGTTCCACTACAGGATGTGACTATAGAGGTGCTGGAGCACAACAAGACCAACACCCCAGTGCTGCATCTCATCAAGGAAGCTGAAACCCTCTCCTCCCTCTCCCACCGCCACATCATCCCCCTCCTCGGATACTCCCTCGAATCCCCCTGCCTAGTCTACCCCCGCATCCCCCACCTCTCTCTAGCCGACCATCTGCCGTACGGTAACAGCTTCCCCCGGTTACCGCCTCTCCCGTGGTTCGTGCGGGTGCGAATCGCCTACGAGGTGTCGTCTGCCCTGCTGTTCCTGCACCAGCAGAAGCCTCACCCGGTGCTGCATCGGGACCTCCGGCCGGCGAACATCGTCCTGTACTGGGAGGAGAAGGGCGGGCGGGAGACGGCTGGAAGAAGGCAGAATGGGGGGGAGGAGGAAGGGCAGGGCGCCCCCTCCCTGGTGGTTCAGAAGGATGGGGATGGCGGCTTGGAGGGAGAGGGGTCTCACAGGGCGCCTTCCTGGTGGCCCAGGTTTCAGAGGAAGGAGAAGGCATTGGTAGCAGCCACTACTGCACCTGCAGCACATGCAGCACCTGCTACTGCTGGAGGCAGCAGCTCAAACGAGATCAGGCAGGAGGGTGAGGTCTCCGGTTCAATTCCTGCTGGGAGACAGTTGGTGAGCAAGCTGGCTCGAGTTGGGTTCTCGGCTCTAAGTCAGAATCCGAGGACGGGGAGGGCAAGAGTGGAGGATGTAGTATTTTTGGACCCGGAATATCCAAGAACAGAGGAGCTGGTTCCGTCGTCTGACGTTTATGCGCTGGGAGTGGTGCTGATGCAGCTGCTGACTGGACGCAATGCCACATCAGCACTGAGCGTGGTAACTGCTGTGGTGGAAGGAACGAAGGGTTTGGGGGATGTTTTGGATGAGGGAGCCGGTGGGTGGCCTGCTGATGTGGCAATGGTGGTTGCTGAGCTGGCAGGGAAGTGCACTGATATGAGGAGGTGTAGGAGGCCAAGTTTGGGTGGTGAAGTGGTGCCTGTTCTCAGTAAGGTGCACATGACCGCATTTGAGGCGGAAACCAGATGAAACCTTGCAGAGTCTTTTTTGGTTATTGCTTTTCTTACTGGCCTCATGCTTGAATTGTGTAATTATTAATTATACTGCTGTAATAATAATAATCCCTCCTTTCAGTTTTTTCAGATATCTAGCCAGGTTTTCCTGATCCACTAGTCATGTGAATAATTGCATTTTTAGGGCAATGCACTTGGTCATCTAAATTGACGCGTAAACTCCCTGTTCTGTCAGAACGTTCCGAATTCCCGCCAAAAATATCACCTCTCTCCTTCCATCCCTCCCTGTCGCTCCCTCTCCCTCGAGTTTCTTATTTCAATTTCTTCTGCCTGTACGGTAAATTCACAACCCCGCCTGCATTTCTCGATTATTGCTCACAGAATCTGCTAGCTTACGTAGTATCGGCTGTTTGCCACAGCATAGGAGACGGCGATTACCTTGGTACTTTTTTCGCTTCCTCGAGATCAACTTCTCCATGCAAATTCAGGAGCGGAGTTAGCCTCAAAATGGATGGCACTGTGACTCCTGGTTGTCGTTTTATTTTATAAAATCGTGACTGCGTCGAGTTGTAGATAGACTGCATTATACGAAAAACAGACTAGCACGATAGGCCCGTTGTTAGGAAGGGGGAAAGCCCTATGGCCTGGTTTAGACGAAAAAAGAACGTCGGCTCAAGGCCTAAAGGTCTCAGCCTGTTGAAAGCTCACGAGTGTACGGACGAAGGAAGCTCGCGAGTGGGGTCCAGCAAAGGCGACTGCGATCTGACGTACAAGCAATGTCCTGATGCTGAGCATGGTTATGATCATGGCAATGTTTTATAAGCATGATTATGGCGGACTCCTTGCTCCTAAATCTCGTCGACGCTCTAAACGAAACGACTGCTCTGGCGACCTTAGGAAGGTAGATAGTGCATACGACCAGTCGGGCGACCGTATTCGTGAGCACGATCACAGCCATCGCGTGTCAAGCTCTCGAACCATCGTGTTCGCTGGAGGCGTTTTCGATAGCCAGTTCTGGTCGCGTAGTACTAAGAGTCCAACCCAGACGCTGTCGCGTAGGGGATCAGCAGCCGCTGCTGGTAAAGCACGCGCCGATTTGCCCGAATTTTCTTGTCGCGCGACCGATGAAAGTACAAGATCACCCACAGCAGCATCAGCAGAGTCGTCCAAGATTCGCTCTTCAGAAGTGTCCGAGTTTCACTCTCCAGGCTGCATGAGGGGCGACTCAGACGCCTGTGTTGTGCTTTTCGAAGCGAGATGGTCCAAGTCGGAGGACAGTCATGAGCCGAGAAGGTGCAGAGAAGCCGACGACGGGAATCAAGACGGAAAAGAGAACAGCATCAAAGGCAGTGCTTTCAACCATTCTGTCTCAGGGGGTCACGGTCCGACCTATGACCAGGAGAGCAAAGTGCTTGGAGAAAGTGTCGGTCCGAGGGTGAACTCTCAAGCAGCCCTTCCTAAACAGGGTATCCTTTGTACAGTGCTTGAGTCTAGCATCGCGAGCGGGATAAGCAATAACCCGGTACCAGAAGCTCCTATTGGCAAAGCAACTGCTGACATTGTTCCGGAAACGCCTAGGCGAAGGATCACCCACTGCGTGTCCGAGGGCCCTACCAGAAGAAGCACGTTCAGAGCATCCACGGCGTTTAGAGAGAACCTGGCTACCTGGTCGAGCCACGTGTCGCAAGCTGATTGGATGTCAGCGTCTGGGGGCTACTGGGAGACTTCTAGCGCTCTTGTGGGTGGTGGTGTTGGCGGCGAGAGTGATGATGATGAGGAGGAGGAGGAGGAGGTGGATAGCAGGAGCGCGTGGACAAGGGGGAGGAGGGCGACTGGCAAGCCAAGGCAGGTGAGTTCAATTTTGCGCCACTTGAAAGGAAAGAGAGGAACAGCAGCAACAGATCTAGCAAGTGACCGTTTTTTAGGTGCCTCAAAAATACGTGAGGAGTCTATTTTTTAGGCGCCTCAAAAAGAGAGGAACAGCAGCAACAGGTCTAGCAAGTGACCGTAGCTGACATATGGAAGATCTGTTGGAACTCTTGCTTCTGAACGAGTATGTCAATTGCTACCACTTACTTAAAACCACTTGCGTTCAACCTGTCATCCCTCCTCATCATACCGCTCCTCATACCTTGTTACAGGGGAAGCCACGGAAATCGAGCAAGTCCCTCATTGTGAATGCTGTCGTGCAAGGTAAAATTGATGAAAGGTGCGGTAAGATTGTTGCTGTGCAAGGTAAGGATGCAGTAGGGCACGGCACACACGCACGTTAAGGGGAAGTGAAAGCGGGATGGAAGCACTGTAGATGCTCCGCTGCTACAGCATGGGCGGCTGAGTGCATTATCTCCACTGCACCTACCAGAACTCAGTGGAAGCACTGTAGATGCTCCGCTGCTACATGCATGGGCAGCTGAGTGCATTGTGTGCACCTACCAGCACTCAGTGGGAGCACTGTAGATTCTTCAGTGCTGCATGCATAGGTAACTGAGTGAGTTCATTTTTTGCACCAACCAGAGCTCTCAGTGGAAGCACTGCCAATGCCCCTTTTTTTTTAAGCGACAAAAAAATAGACTCCTTGTTGTTTGCACCCACCAGAGCTCTCTGTGGAAGCACTGCCTGCAAATGCTCCTTTTTTTTAGGCGACTCAAAAATATACTCCTTGTTGTTTGCACCCACCAGAGCTCTCAGTGGAAGCACAGCCAATGCCCTGCTGCTACCTGCCACGATCTGTCAGGCTCAAAAGGATTCGCCTTAACCATCCTCCTTCACACTGCCATTTCCATCTTGCTCCCTTCTCTCATTCCTCTCCCATTCCCTCCCTTTCTGTCGCCTTTGTTTGTCTCTCTTTGATACGTGTGTAATGCGTCTATTTGAGTCGACTCAAAAATAGACTCATTACACATGTTTGTCTCTCTTTGGTACGTGTGTAATGCGTCTATTTGAGTCGACTCAAAAATAGACTCATTACACATGTTTGTCTCTCTTTGATACGTGTGTAATGCGTCTATTTGAGTCGACTCAAAAATAGACTCATTACACATGTTTGTCTCTCTTTGATACGTGTGTAATGCGTCTATTTGAGTCGACTCAAAAATAGACTCATTACACATGTTTGTCTCTCTTTGATACGATCCACATCACAAATGGCAGAGCGGCCGTTCGACAGCAGTACTCTTTCTCTAGGCCCATCCGACCCCCACCAACCCCTCCCCTCCCCACTGGTTTCTCTTTTCTTCCAACCCACATAAGAGAGGGCAGAGAGCGGCCATCAGAAAGCAGTACTCTCCTTCTAAGTTCATCGGACCCCCACTAACCCCTCCCCTCCCCTCTCATTTCTCCCTTCTTCCAACCCACATAACAGAGGGCAGGGAGCGGTCCTCAGAAAGCCGCTCAGCAGTGGGTGGGTGGGACATTCATTTTCTTTCCCCGGTCCGTCCAATCCCCCTCCCCAACCATCCAACCCCCCCCCCCCTTCTCTTCACCACTGCCTCCCTCGTTCCTTCAGAGGGCAGGGAGCAGCCCTCAGGAAGCTGCTCAGCAGTGAGTGACATGCACTTTCTTTCCCCAGTCCGTCCAATACCCCCTCCCCAACCATCCACACATCCCTTCCCCCACCCTCCTCTTCCCCACTGCCTCCCTTGTTCCTCCACAGAGGGCAGAGAGCGGCCGTCAGAGAGCAGCTCCGCAGTGAGTGGTTGGGACATGTACTCTCCACGTGGCAGAAGCTCATTGGGCAGTTTGGGTGCCAGAAAGGTACTCCCTCACCCTCATTCTACCGCTCCCACCCTCCCCAAGACCCACCTGGCTGCACATACTGCCCACCTCTCTCGTCTCTACCCACTCCTGGTCAATCTGCCCGCTCTTTTTTCTCTGCCTGTGTGTGTGAATGTGTTTCTTCCGTGCCTTGTGTGTTGCAGTCAACTCCTCACATCTGTCAGGATCGTCGCAGGTGGATGTACGACCCTAGGATCGTCGCAGGTGGATGTACGACCCTTGGCGGAGGAAGACAGGTGGTTGGAAGAATCAGGCCCACAGCAACCCATGAGCGCTCTCTCTACCTACCTGTGTGTGTGTCTCTCCCTACTGCCCTTGAGTGCTACAGTCAGCCCCTCGCATCCGTCAGGATCGGCGCAAGTGGGTGTACAGCCCAGATGACATGGCAGAAGATGAGCGGATTGATCGAATACGGTCTGTTACACGCGGGAACGGTTTCAACTCATGGCCTGTACAACTTTGTTGATTCTCCAAGCTTGGTTCGTGGTGGGCTGAATTTCCCCAGATTTATCTGTTTGTTCTTGTTTACTGGTATTTCCATACAGTATACCGGTAGCCTCACTTCATTGTGCCATGGAACTGGATGGTAGGTAGTTATATTTTTATGACTTCAGCGCTTCGCCAATGTGCAGTACTGTATCGTAATTTATTTCCAACACACTGACACAACAAACAGACCCCCAACCTGATGCATCGCCCCCCAACCCCAACTGTCCTGGACTGGCCTCTAAGTTGGCGGGTGCCCAAGCCAACTGCTGTTAGCCAAGGACCGATCCTCCTGTCCCCCTCCCCTTCACATCCACTATGTGTCTGCTAGCACTTCACAGGGGAGGACCCTTTCATAGCCTCACACTAGACCTGGATTGGCTGGGGAAATTAGGCATTTACCCGGTGGCAGTTGCTCCTGATCTGGCCCTGGCTGCCAGTAAGGGGTGTGATCATACCCATCTTCATGACAGAGCGCCTGAAGTGCTTGAAGAAAACGCTCTTTTTCTTGGCGAATACCTTCACAGCGCGCATGGTCGTGCGGTTGTAAATGAGAGCTTGGTCCGTGGTGAGGAGGCCAGCACGAGCCAGCAGGTTCTTGTAATACTATAGATAGAGAATATGGGGGGAGATGAAGGCAAAGCATTATGAGTAAGATTGGTGAAGAGCAGAAGCACTATTAACCAGAGAGCCTGTTGCAGCAAGTGATTCTCCAAAAGCACAAGTCAAGGAAGGTCGTATGGCGAGGACGCTATAACGAGGATAAACGCACCTGGTTATCGAACCGGCTGGGGGTCTTGTAGTCGTTGTTGATCATAGCCTTGGGGCTAATGTTGCTCGTGCCGCACTTGGCCTTGACGTAAGCAGCGAACTCGGGGTTCATCGTGGGGTCATTCTGCGTCAGGCGATTCTTCAGGCTCACGCAGCGAGCCTCGCCCATCGTGTGCGCGCCTGCGACAACATGCGAACGACACAATGTTACTCGCTTATGCGAAAGCACAAGCCGATTTTCTATAACTGGGGGGAGGGAGGACAAAATGTACCGCTGAGTGTGGCGACATCGAGGATATCGAGGCCGACTGTAGCGAAGTTGTGCACAAGCCCGGAGACGTTGAGGGTGGATCCTGGGAGGAACGTCTCCGCCGCAAGCGCGAATGACGTCAGCCCGTCGCGACGCCCCAGAGGCACCTCCGTGAGCGGACCGCCGGCCTAGAGATAGAGCGGAAAACGAGCAGTTAGAGGCATGTAAAACGAGATCGATGCACCTTTTTTCTGTAGGGAAGTTGATTTGAAACCGAATCTTTTCGAATTGATGGGGTCGGATCGATTGATCGACGGCCTACCAGATGCACGCCTTCGCGCGCGGCGAGAGCGAGAATGTCGGCGCAAGACACGGTGCCGGGGCATTCGGCCTCGAGGTGCGCCTTGATGTCGTCGATCACGTCGAATGCACCGAGAGTGGCGTTGGGATCCGCGTCCTTCTCCGCCTTGTTGTTGGATGTGGAGTCGAGCAGCACGGAGGCGTCGCAACCCTGAACAGCACCGTGACGGAGAGGCAAGAGAATTGCTCGTTTATTTGTTGTGTCGTCAAGGTCCCGTTCAAGTAAGAGCTTGTTTTGTCGTCGAAAACATTAAACATGACGAGGCGTTGAGACCTTCGTTCTCACCTGCACGAAGCAATCGTGGAAGTGGAGGTGGAGCAGCAGCGCGGGCACGGCGAGGTCGAAAGCAGCGAGGAATGTTAACGACGAGGAAAGAAGAGAGCACTGAATGCGGGAACCTCGGCTCACCTGCACGAAGCAATCGTGGAAGTGCAGGCGGAGCAGCGGCGCAGGGACGCCGCGGTCCTTCTTAAACGCGGCGTACACGCGCGCCGCGACGATGTCCGCCGCCTTGGGGCACGACTCGGAGTAGAAGGAGAACGACAGTCCCGGGCCCTGCGGGTTTGCCATGCCCGTCATTCCGCCGCTGTTGCTGCCGGGGCCGCCACCTCCGCCCATTCCACCGCCGTTGACCCCCGGGCCGCCCCCGCTGCAGTCCCCGCTGCCTCCCCCGGTGCAGCCGCCCCCGCCTCCGCCGCCTCCCATTCCGCCCCCGGGCTGGGCGAAAACGGATGCGGAGGCGACGAGCATCAGCAAAACGAGCGCTGGGAATGTCGCCGACGCCATAGCTCGGAAAACAATGTGAAGAAAGGTGAAGATGCGCGAGGTTCAGCCGGGTTGCAAATTGGTTCTGAAGAGGGAATGCGAGAATATTTGGAAGCTCGAGCTTTATGTACAATTCGAGAGGCCCTGACGGAGGGATGGAATTGCAGTGATAGGAGGGGGGGCGAATTTTGGTTTTGGGAGGAGTCGAATTGGGTGGAGGAGGGGGGGAGAGGGAGAGGAATGGGTGGGTTGTGACGTGATGTGACTCGGTGCGGCGCGGGGCTTGGCTTGTAACGCAAGTGCTTCCCCTTACCTGATAACGCCTAGGGAAATCGGAAAGGTGGAACGGGTTCCAGAGCTCTCCTGTGCATTGAAGGACGGTTGGAGAGGACGCTGTAAGTCGAAGCGCGGGGGGGCGGAGATGTTGCCATTTCCCCCAAGCCTCCAGTGTAGGCATGGAGGGGCAGAGGTGGGGGATGCTACAACTGGCTAGGAGGTGTAATTGACGGGTGAGATTTGCGCTCCTTGATTTTGCCTTGTTGTCAACCATCAATCTGGGCCCTTGAATATTGGAGGCGGCCAGGGCGCGGTGATGGCGAAGCGGCCGCGCAGCGAGAAATTCTCCGTGGCATGTGCCAAAGGTGCTCGAACGAAGTCAACCATGTGGTCTGGGTCTGGGTGTTTCGTGGTGTCGCAGAACATGGCGAACCGTATGGTTGTCGCATGTATGCCACACCTGTTCTCTGCTGTCGCATGTAACCATATTCCCGAGTCGCAGCGAGCTGACGAAATCGCGAATTACTCGGCGGATAGCTATAAGAAGCACCATTGGTTCAAAACGTTCGCCTGACAAACCGTATGTCCCATACATCCCTCGCCACCAAGGTGGGAGGGATTGTCGCAGCACACACGATCTCTCACCCAGGGCACGTGTAAACAAGATAATTACCCGGACTTCGCTTAAAATCCAAGGTTTTTCCCTTACCGACCCTGTGTTTTACAGAGCTTTTCCCAGGCCAGCCCTGAAGAACTGAGAGAGATTTCTGTTGTCACCCGCAGAGTCCAGTAGGGTTTTGGGAGGGCCCGGACAATTGGGTAGCCTCCAGGGGGTGTAGGAATATCTCAAGGTCCCTAGACCTCCCATCCCCATTAGCCCCACCCTTCCCTCCCTCAAACATGGAAAGTTGTAACGGCAGGGATTCGAATAGCTTAAAGCCCCACTCTCATAATTCTAGGAAGTGAGCAAGTGTTAAATGTTTGGTACCCAGTTACGCTGGCGAACTTGAAGAGACAGGCTTGGAAATGCCTCGGACAGTGTGCTGTGCTAAGGGGGGGGGATACCAACCGTAAAACCAGTTCAGCAATATGAGAATGCACAAGTTTACGGAAGAACGGTCCTGCTGTACCGTTAGATCATCGAGAGCCTTTGATCTGACAGTTGAGTGACTGGGCGTTTGAATCGACGGCTATAAACGAAGTAGAAAGTTGTTGCGCAAAAAAATGGAGTTTGCACCGTCCGATATGCTAAACCTGACGCGTTCCAAACTTCCCCAAACCTGTTTCTTGGTTTGGAGTTTTTTTGTCGAAACAAAACGGCCTCGCCACGTGAGTTTCGTTTTTGCAGTTTTGTTTACACCTCGCGTACCAATCAGTGCCTGTCTGTCTCAACCAAGTGTTAAACTCTGGTAATTATAAGATGGGGGCTTTAAATTCGAATATTGCTAGGGTTTATGTACGTTTCCGTGTGTTACTGTCGTTTTTTATACAATTCAGTCGGTAAGAATTTGAACGAATGTTTCGTGGGAAATGAACCACGCCCTAAGCTACCAAGGAGCTAGAACTTCACGTGTATTTCCGCACGTACTACCAGATCAATGGTCACTTAGCAGCAGGTTTTAAAATAAGCAGCCACTCACAATCGTCCCAGCCCTTCTCCCCACCCCTTTTATCCCCGCCCCTCCTGGCCCAAATTTAGCTCCTTCACAGGTGCGTCTATGGTGTCGGATTTCCCACACCGAAGCACTCCCACTCACAACCCCACTGTCTCGTCCCACAAAAACTGCCCACACTTTATCAGGCCTTTTCGAACGCGGACCCTGAAGAATCTTGACGAAGTCAGATTTTACAGGGTGATTTTTCGAGGAGCTCGGATCGTCCGAGGTGGCAAAAGGCCTAGCGAGAGCCCTGCTCTCACCATAAGGAGATGCGCTTGCATAACGTTTTTTATGCCCATGTTCTAAAGCTTCATCGAATCGGCCGCTTTAGCGAGCGACAAGTATAACATGAGGAGGACTACCAAACTTAGGTTTAACATAGCGAGGAAATATGTGCACGGGATGAGAAACCACATCACTCGTCCAAACTTAGGCTGTAGGCCGAAATTCAAATCGCCATCTTGAACGACATCACCCCATTTCCTTCTAGACACCGCATCTTACATTTACGCCTGTCAGGTCTGTAGCGAATCCTTGTTTGGAAACAGGGGGGCTCTGGGATGCAGATGGTGAAATTTGGCGCCTCGCACATCGCGATTTGCCAAATCCATCAGAAATGGCATCTTCTGAAATTGCTGAGGTTTGAATGGCATTTGGAAATTCGTGAAATTCAACAGCCATCTTTTGTCTTCCCCCTCATGAGCAACAGAAACGGCTTCAAGTGGGGGCAGAAAGAGAAATACATGGCATCAGCAGCACCAAAGTACCGCACAATCCCTTCATGAGCGATCGTAAAACCAAAGAGTACCACGCTTTATTTCCAGCTCAAGCGATACAACCACCATTCCGACACCATTCCCACAACCACATAGTTTATGCAGTCCGACGAGCCAGCATCCCTGACAAGACAACAACCATCAACACCTCCACTTCTGCCTCTGATTTTCTCTAGCCCGCCCTCCTTCAAGATTCCTCCACACAAAGCCGCAATGCGCGTTACAAGCTCCCCTCTTACACCCCACTGCGCGTCTAGCTGTTGCGCACGTCGCAGCCCGCGCACACCCCACTGCGCATCTAGCTGTTGCGCACGTGGCAGCTGAGGCGGATCTCGCCCTGGGTGCCAGTGAGCGGCGAGATCGCGCCCATCTTCACGAGCGACTTGCTGAACGCGTCGAACCACGTGCTCTTGGCGTGCGCGAACGCCTTCACGGCGCGGTCCGTCTTGTCGTCATAAATGAGAGCCTGGTCCGTGGTGAAGAGACCCTTGTGCGCAAGAACGTTCTTGTAGTACTGCGGGGGAAAGGGACGGGAAGGTGGAAGAGTGGGGAGGGGACGAAAGGATGAGCGCCAGGTCAGTGGTGAAGAGACCCTTGTGCGGGTGAACGTTCTTGTATTACTGCGGGGGAAGAGGTAGCGCGCAGATACGAGGAGAGGGAAAGGATGAGAGCGCATGGTCAGTGGTGAATAGGCCCTTGTGCGCAAGCACGTTCTTGTAGCACTGCGGGGGAAGAGGCGGAAAGGGGGAGACGAGGGGAGGGAACGGAAAGGATGAGCGCTTGGTCCGTGGGGAAGAGACCCTTGTGCGCGAAAGCGTTCTTGTAGTAGTACCGCGGAGGAAAATGTGGCAAGGCGGAAAGGCGGGGAGGGGGGGGGGGAGGTTATGAATAACGGGTAAGGAAGAGAGCAGGGATATGCGAAGGAGGCGTCGGATTATTCTGGACGTTTTCTTTTCTAGGAGAGTAGAAGTCGCGAAAGTGTAAAAGCTGTACATTACGCGGTTACCTGGTTGTCGAATTTATGGGGCGAAACGTAGTCGTTGGGGATCAACTTCTTGGGGTCGATGTTGCTCGTGCCGCACTTCTGCTTCACGTACGCCGCGAATTCCGGGTCCATGGTGGGGTCGTTCTGCTCCAGGCGGTTCTTAAGACTCACGCAGCGGCCCTCCCCGATAGTGTGCGCTCCGCTAAGAGTCACAACGTCGGTCATATCGAGGCCGACTGTAGCAAAGTTGTGCGTGAGCCCCGAGACGTTGAGCGTGGAGCCCGGGAGGAAGGTCTCCGCCGCGAGTGCGAATGACGTCAGCCCGTCGCGACGCCCCAGAGGCACCTCCGTGAACGGACCGCCAGCCTGCGAGTAGCGAGATTCGCGAAGATAAATGGGAGAGACGGTTACACTCGTCAGAGGATAGGATGGCATGGTTACATTGGAAGAAACGATGAAGGCTCGTGCGGAAGGGGGTGGTGCGGATAAGGGGTGCGGAAGGGGGTGCGGATAAGGGGTGCGGAAGGGTGTGCGGATAAGGGGTGCGGGGGCCAGGCGAGGGAGGCGGAGAGAGCTAAGGGCTCCCTCTCTCGCGTGCACGGAAACGTACCAAGTGAATGCCCTCGCGAGCCGCGAGAGCGAGAATGTCGGCGCAGGACACGGTGCCGGGGCACTCCGCCTCGAGGTGCTCCTTGATATCATCCACCACGTCGAATGCGCCGAGGGTGGCGTTGGGGTCCGCGTCCTTCTCCGCCTTGTTGTCGTCCGTCGAGTCCAGGAGGACCGACGCGTCGCAGCCCTGGGAAAAGGGAGAGCAAAAAGAATGAGCGACAATGGGCGAGGGTGGTGTTGGGGTCCGCGTCCTTGTTGTCGTCGGTCGGTCGGTCGGGCACGGAGGCGTCGCAGCCCTGGAAAAAGCGGGGACGGTTGAATTTTGAGTCGACTCAAAATACACCTGGAAAAGCGGGGACGGTTGAATTTTGAGTCGACTCAAAATACACCTGGAAAAGCGGGGACGGTTGAGCGTTGAGCGCACGAAAAATAAGTCGTCCGCAACAAACTCTCCTCTAGAGGTTCTGCAGAAGTGGCTTCTGCTGACGCGGCTCAACAAGTCAGAAGGTCAAAGCGCATTCGTTCACACTGTTTCTCCTAATGGACAACAACGAGCAGCTAGGTACTACCTGGACGAAGCAGTCGTGCCAAGTGGAGGCGCAGCAGCGGCGGTCGGAATTAACGATGAATTTAGTAATGCAGACAGCGAGGAACGTAAGCAACGAGGAAAGGAGAGAGCACTGAAGTGTTTTGAGTCGACTCAAAACACAATAGGAGAGAGGCATTGCTACTGAACTGAATGCGGGAACCTCAGCTCACCTGGACGAAGCAGTCGTGGAAGTGGAGGCGCAGCAGCGGCGCGGGCACGGCGGGGTCGTTCTTGTACGCCTGGTACACGCGCGCCGCGACGATCTCCGCCGCCTTGGGGCACGACGACGCGTAGTAGTTGTACGACAGGCCGCGGCCGTGCTCGTAGCTGTCGTCGCTGCTGCTGCCGCCGCTGCTGCTGGTGTAGTTGTCGTCGTGGCTGCTGTCGCTGCTGCCGCTGCTATCGTCGCTGCTGCTGCTGCTGCTGCTGTCGCTGCTATCATCGCTGCTGCTGCTGCTGCTGTCGCTGCTGCTGTCATCCGACGACGACGAGTCGTCGCTGCTGCTGTCGTCGTGGCTGCTGTCGTCACTGCCACTGTTGTCGTCCGACGACGACGAGTCGTTGCTGCTGCTGTCGTCCGACGACGACGAGTCGTTGCTGCTGCTGTCGTCCGACGACGACGAGTCGTTGCTGCTGCTGTCGTCCGACGACGACGAGTCGCTGCTGCTGCTGTCATCCAAACCGCTGTTGTCGTGCGACGAGTCGTCGCTGCTGCCATTGTCGTCCGAGCCGCTGTTACTGTCGTCATGGCTGCTGTCGTCGTGCGACGAGCTGTAGTTGCTGCCGTCGTCATGCGACGAACTGTCGTGGCTGCTGTCGTCGGTGCTGTCGTCGGTGCTTTTGAAGTAGTCGCTGCTCCCAGAGTCACTCAGCACTCGAGCCTCCTCGCGCCGGCCGTTCTGAGCCAGGACGCCGAAGCTGCGATGCGCCAATGCAGGGCGCGCGACAAGCGCGGCCGAAACAATCAACATCGCCAGAAGAAGCACGCGGGGCGACATTGTGGAAAAACGTCCTCGCCGCGAAACCAGGTGCTAGGAGTGAAAAGCACGCAGGGAAACTTGGAGCGAATTCGATGAGGGGAATTCGGAGAAAGCGAATTCCTGGAGGAATGAATTTGGGAAATGGCTCGGACTGAATTTCTTCACGCCTTGCGCCCGTTCTAAATACAGCCCCCCTCCTCCCCTACCGGAGAAGTGAGGGAGGGGGCGTGTGGGGGTTTGGAAAGGGGGCTGGGGTGAGGTTTGGAAGCCGAACACCAGACCAGAGCATTCGAGGCTCGCATTCGAGACCGAACTTTCCCAGCCTGGGCTTGGGTTCGGGACAATCTTGGCTCGGCAGTGACGGGTGCTCCTTGCGGAGCTCGGCGCGGAAGAAGTGCGGCAAGCTAGGGAGGGGCGGAAGTGGCGCGTGGTCAAGAGGGGGTGTCGCGTGGCTTCAGCCTTGGGTAGCAACCAGCTTCCGGCGGAAGGCTTGCTGCCATGAGCGCAAGTCGAGCTTAAATTTGCAAGGCCCACGTTGCGCGTCGCGTTCTGTGAGCTTCGCCAGGCTGGATGGCTCGGTGCCTTCGACTTTCTAGAGGAACTGTACAGAGCAGCGCTGATATGGTTACGTCCAGACCTTTGGGGGCCAGAGCCTTCCGAGCCTAAAGGGGCCAGCGGTTCGCACTAAACGGTCCAATCACATTTTGCCGAGGCGATGTCTAAGTGTCACACAGGCCTACTTACAAACCAGGGATTCGTGCGAGCGGCACGTGCCTGTACACATTCGAACCTTCATGGTCAGTTTCCATTCTGCTCAGCTGTGCTCGGGCTGACTGCCATGCTGCCAATCGGATTCCAAACCACAGGCCTTTACCAAGTCAGCATGTTGGTCACGGAAGTAATGATTACATGATGACGACCTCGCTATAAGCGGCTGGTCATGCCCCACGGCGTATAGAAGCTCGAGATGCAGCAACGCGAAGAGAGCAGAATATCAAATTTAACACTATTTCACAACCTAATGTGCTTTAATTCCACGTGTAAAACTACCCTCCTAATGCTGCTACACTTTTCCTGAGACCCTCGACAGAGCGTATGACCATATCGTGGTCACCGTTTGGACGACTCAACATGACTTGTGGAAAAATGCCCGCTTGCACTACTCTTCTGCTACGCAAAAATGAGAATGCCCACGCAATTTGCTGTAAGGACATGCCTTTAAGCGACTCTCTTTGCAATCTTGCCATCGTTCGTGGTGTGCTCCCTATCGTCATTCAACCATTTGTTGACAAGCAAAGAGTCAATAAATATCTGCGGCCAAAACAGAAGCACGAAGTGAGATACTGAACAAGTACCAGCTTGGTGTAAGGTTGTGAGGAAGAAACACAAACAGCACATGGCTACATATGCACAGTAGAAATCACATGACCACACACACAGACACATACACACAAAATGCTAAGGATGTACACAAAATACTGGAGCTCACCTGAAGGAAGTGTGTGAGGATGAACGGTAGCAGCAACAGTGCAGCATCGCCTGTAAGTGTTCTGGTGTTTCGAACAAAGAGGAGCTTACAAGGGAGACACTACTGGAGCTCACCTGGAGGAAGTGTGTGAGGATGCACGGTAGCAGCACCAGTGCGGGTTCGCCCATCAGTGTTCCAATCTTTTCCACCACCGTTGCCGCCACAGGTAAAGTTTTCTGCAACAGATAAATTTGCACCAGCATAGAATGTTGCAATATGATACATGAGGAGAAGCATCCAGGAGATAAGGAAAGTCAGAACTACTGTACAATAAAAGGTTTGACATGGCTATGCTCTGCTCTCGGAAAAAAAAGAGTGATTGGAACATCATAGCAACATAGAATACTATATGGTGCTGTATTGGTGGAGTTATGAGAAATAAGGTTAGCTTAAGTACTGCATAATGTTATGTGATATGCATGTAGTGTAACCTGGCTGGAGAGGATGATGACAGCTCTATCCACAGCATTGGCCTCGTGAGTGGGAAGAGGAGGAGTGATCTTCCTTAGAGCCGCCATCACACCCATGTTGAGCGCCAGGAAGGACAGATGGACGGTTCTGATTAAAGGATGTAGAAAGGGGGGAACAGGGGGGGCGGAGAAAGAGTAGATCCTTCTTAAAGCCGCCATCACGTCCATGTTGCGCGCCAGGAAGGACAGATGGACGGCTCTGATTCGAGAATATGGGGGACGAGGGGTGAGGGGTGTAGGGACAGAACGGAATAATAGGGGAGCGCACGGGAAAAGAGGTAGGCTGTACTGAGGTTGTAGCACAATTGACAAATATGCTGAGCACCAGAGCATGCAATCATGCCTGCCAGCGCCAGGAACGGGGCTGAGCATGTAGGGTTCTTTTAGTTCGTCACCTGCTAGGGTTGTTTTAGTCGATTCAATTATATGCAATCATATACGCCAGCAGCAGCAAGGGGATGGAGATGTAGGGTGTCCTCGGACGGACGACACACATCACAGCGAAACAGGGTGCAGACATACATGCCAGCGGCAGCAAGGGACTGAGCATGTAGGGTGTCCTCGGAAAGACGACACACATCACAGCGAAACAGGATGCAGACATACATGCCAGCGGCAGCAATGGGTAGCAGCTGAGTCATGTCGAGACGAAGAATGGCCGCCCGGGCGGAACTGACTTGCATCCAGGGCACCTGCAAGGGGAGCATGCGCGGGATGACAAAGGAAAAGAGGGGAGTACAAGCTGGGAAAATAACTTTGGTCGCGTAGAAAATGAAAGGATTGGAGATGGTGAGATGGAAGTGTGCAAGAGGGAATGCGTACGTTGAGATATGAGAGGCGTATGAGAATAAAGGCAATGGTGAAAAGAAGTAGATAAATGAAAAGGGCAGAAGCACATACGAAAGAGAGCATGGCATTGTTTGCCATTGAGAGCTGCTGCTTGCGTTGGTCAGCCCACCTGGCAACAGCTGATTGGACAACGGGCAGAGAATAAGGAAGAGGGGAGGGGGAGGGAGGGGGGGGAGGTCCGAGCCATTTCATGCAAGGGCACAGCAAAGTAGGGTAAGCATTGCATGAATCAGGCCTCTGGGAGGAGAGATGAGAAAGGTGGTCACACACACCTGGACAGGTCTCAGGCGGACAAATGAAATAAGACGGAAAAAAAAACCGGAATAACCGGAGTGGCATGGAGGATCAGCACACCTGGGATGGCTCGCCTGACGGCCTGAATTTTTATCAGAGTGGTGCCACCCGGTTAGCAGAGTGACGCAAGTGGTACGAGTAGATGACAGGGGTAGAGCACATGATGCAGCACAGGGGACACGAGAGGGGGACATGAGAGGGGGACATGAGAGGGGGACATGAGAGGGGGGCATGAGAGGGGGGCATGAGAGTGGGGCATGAGAGGGGGAATGGGCGGAAGACGGAAGGAGAACAAACCTGACAATCAATTGCAACAAATTTTTGAGTCGACTCAAAAATCAATTGCAACAAATTCACCCGGATATACATGCTGGGAGTATCAAGAAAGATGGGAGTCAGTCACGTATAAGAATGAAAACTTAACCAAGCAACAGCAGCATATTATAGTATGCTCAAACATAGCAGCGTAAGCAGCATAATTGGATAAATGACGCACCCAACCGCACGTAATTGGACGTAATTGCAGCATAGCTCTTACCATCCCTATGAACAGTGGGACGAGCAGTGTGGTAACCAGCCCGCGTAACAACGGCCCCGCTGGTACGGACACGCCCCCACTGGCTGGCACGAGCCTCGAGAGGAGCAGGGGCATCTGAGGGGGGAGCAGAAGGGTGCATGCAGGGGGGGGGGGAGAGGGAGGGGTTGCTTGAACGGTCTGAGGGACAGGAGCCCTGCTGGCACTGAACCCTACTGGCTGGCACGAGCTTGGAGAGTAGCACAGGCATCTGAAAGGAAAAGCGGTGAGAAAGAGAGGAGAGGCGCTAAGGGGAGGGGGTTGGGGTGTTGTAGCTTGGATATCGCACTATGCCCCTGCTGGTACTGGCACGCCCCCACTGGCTGGCACGAGCCTGGAGAAGAGCAGGGCCATCTGAAAGGGAAAGTGGGGAGAAAGAGAGGAGAGGGGCGGAGGAGGAGGGGGGTGGGGTGTTGTAGCTAGAAAATGGCACAAAGGCCCTGCAGGTACTGACACGCCCCGACTGGCTGGCACGGGCCTGGAGAGGAGAAGGGGCATATGGGGGGGGAGTAGAAGGGTAGGCTCATGTAGAAGACGGGAGATGGGGAGATTGCTAGAACAGTCTGAATGACAGGAGCCCTGCTGGTACTGGCACACCCCGCTGGCTGGCACGAGCCTGGAGAGGAGCGGGGGCATATGGAGGGGGGAGTCGAAGGGTGGGAGCTGGGGGATGGGGGAGGGAGACATCGCTAGGATAGGACGGTCTGATCTGAGGGACAGGAAGCCCTGCTGGGGGTGTTCGCCCTCCCTCACTTGTCCTACAGCCCCCCCAGGTGGCCAGGGTCAAAGCTCTCGAGTCTCTGGTGCTGCTGCTGCTGGGGGCCCTCCCCTCCCCTCTCGCAGGGCCATAAGGCCGGCCCCGGTGCTCCTCCAATAGTGCCGTCCTCTGACCCAACCTGGTGGGGGTGCTGGCCCTCTCTCCCCTGTCCTACAGGCCCCCCAAGCCGGCCAAGGAGAACGAGCTCGTGCCAAGGAAACCCTTCCTGGCGCTCGACAGAGTCTCTGGTGCTACTGCTGCTGCTGCTGGCAGCCCTCCCCTCTATTTCGACCCATCCCCCCCCCCTTTCCCCCGTCTCCCCCCTGACTTCCTGCCAACACACATCCCCACAGACGTTGAAGGAGAGGGCGCTGGATTCGCTGGTGCTGGTTGGGGGCAAGTTCGCCCGGAGTGTTCTGGGTGCTGGTGGTGGCCGTCCTCTCTGTTTCAACCACCCCCCCCAAACACACACGTCCACCGGCCCAAGGAGCGGGCGCTGGGGTCGTTGGTGCTGGTGGTAGCCATCCAAAAGCAGGAGGTTCTAGAAGAGGAGTGCTTGCAGTGAGTATTCCAACAGTCTCTTTTTTAAGGCGCCTAAAAGATAGACTCTTCACAAGTGGTTTCTGAGGCGCCTTGAGAATAAATCAGGAGAGCTTACAGTGAGTGAATA